ATGTGAATGCAGTGATTGTGATTATGCCCGATGAGGAGGAAGAAGAAAGAGAGAGCCCGAGGAAGCAAGGAAAAATAGACGAAGCCCCAGTGACACCGCCACCCGAGCCTACCTTACACAAATCCCCAAACCCATACCGACCGAGAATCTCTTTCCCAGGCCGACTTTTGGAGGAGAAGGGTTGCCGACTGATTCGAGACCTCCATGCGATGTTGGCTAAGGCTAATGTTGACATATCTCCTCCCAACGTGATGAAGAAGATACCGGCCTATGCGAGATTTTTCAAGGAGTTTGCAGGCGAATAAACAGAGGCTCGAGAATAACAATGATGTGTTCGTCTGTGAGGCGGCAAGTGTCTTTCAGCATCACTTGCCGAAGAAAGAAACAGACCCCGGAGGCTTCGTGATCAACATTGCCTTCGAAAATGAGAAAGAGGCTTTGGGAATGCTCGATCTGAGAGCGAGAATAAACCACATGCCACTATCCTTTTATCGGCAGCTCGAGCTTAGGGATTTGAAGCCCACTCAGATGCGCTTGCAGCTTGCCGATCGCTCACTCCATCAGCCCGAAGGAATTGTGGAGGATGTGCTCGTTCGAGTGGGAAAGTTGATCGTCCCCATAGACTTTGTTGTCCTCGATGTAGGGGACGTTCCGGTGAGTGGGAAAGAGCACACTATCCTCCTTGGGCGACCGTTCATGATGACCACGGACAAGATGATCAAAGTCAAGAGGGGGAAGCTAACCATGACGGTGTTGGGTGAGTCCATTACCATTTCCGTCCGGGAGACTAGACCAGAGCCGCAGATAAAATTTGTGAAAGAATGCATGTCCCTTAGGGAAAATTGAGCAGCTTACTGAGGAAGCGTGTATGTGTGAATACACGAAGAGGTCATTACAGGACCGAGCCCATGTCGAAAAGGGAAGCCACCCCAACCGCCACATTTCACCTCTCACACCGAGTTCAATGGAGCTGCCCCGATTCTAATGGGGTGAGAGATTTGATTTCTCAGACGCCGCCGTTGTTCGGGGCCGACTACCTCCATCCGCCACCAGTATCACCAGACGCACAGTGACTTGTCACTGTGCTTTGTACGTTTCTCTTTCTCTTTCTCTTTTGTTTTGTACAATTTGTTTTATTTTCAGTCGGTTAGTTATATGGTTTAACTCTCTTTCACCGCGGATCAACAATGGGGACACTGTTTGATTTTAAGTGTGGGGGAGTTTTGCGTGCTTATGTGACTATGTGGTTGACCAGGTCTAGTTCTTTTAGGTTGTTTTCATTTTATGTTTTTGTTTGGTGCCCTATCTTAAGTCAGTTTGTGTGTTTTGCGAGTATGGATTGTGGTGGATTTTGAGTTTGGTTGATAATTGTTGATGAAGTTTAGGAGATATTATGATGATCATGACTAGTTTATCTTGTGAACTTGACTGTCGTTTTGTTGGACATTTATTACCTTATGTGATGTTTGAGCCTTAACTTGTTTCTTGTGAGATATTGGTCGGAATCGCTGTCAGTTAGAATTTTCCTTGAGTCTACTCCAAAATGAATCAGTTGGGTTTGTGTAATGTGAACATGATTGAGGCATTCTTTGTATTTTCTTTCCCCTTATCATTTTGTAGAAATAATTTCACTAGTCACCCCCTTTGAGCCTTATTGATTTTCTCTCTTTTATAACCTCGTGACAATGATATTGTGGAGTTGAGGGTGGAGAATTGGAGATAATTGGTGTCGAGTCATGTATAAAAAAAAAGAGTGAAAAATGAAATGAGACCAAAGGGAAATAAACACCCGAAGGTTGTCATTCACAAAAAAAAATAAAAAAATGGTACCGAATGGATTAGTTAGAATATCCAAATGGTTCAAGAAAAAAAAGTGTATATATTTGAATAATGCGACTAGCGGGTTGACTTGTGAGGATATGGGAGGAAAAGGTTGGTGCTTGACAACCAGAGGAGTTCATGCTTATGGTTAGGTGGGGGACTTGGGTTGATTTGATTTTTATTTAGCCACTTAGCCTATATATATCCTACCCGATCCAGAGAGCCTACGTTACATCCCTAAAAGACTTCTTTTGATTCATTATTTCATCAATTTCATTGTTTTAGAGTAAGAGTTAGACGATACGCAAACTTATGATTGATTCGACTGACGACCAATTTGAGCGTCCCCATTTCATATTCATACAGGAAACTGAGTGAGACATATATGTATTATATTACCGTGCTTGAGAGTTTGTAAGCGTATCGTTAAAGTTGTAATTGAGGTATGCTATATTGGTCATTGGAAGTCTCATAGGCTAAGTTGATTAATCTGAAACTATTATCCATGCTCATTTTCTTGTTTTCTTTTCTTTTCTTTTCGTGTCTTTTTGTTCGGGACGAACAAAGGTTTAAGTGTGGGGGAGTTGTTTGTCCTATTTTTGTTGTATTTTTACTTGTTATCTTATCTTCTTTTTTCCCCCGTTTTAGGTCTTTTCGTTAATTTTTAGTTTGTTTTGTAGTTTATTGTGTATTTTACTCTATGTTGGTTTTCTTTGTGTTTTTTCCTATTTTCCTTCGTTTTTGGTGTGCAGGTCGGAAGCCCCATGAGAAAGAGATTTTGCCTAAAAATTGACCGGGCAATCATGGTTGTGTAGACGGGTTTGTTGGCAACATATTGGAAGAAGCGAAGCTCAATTTCGAGCTTGGACGAGTCCGAATGGGCCCAAAACGCGAAGTCGCACGAATCACGTCTTTGGTGTGCTGGTCATAAGCTTTGGGAGAATTTTATTTGAGGAATAATTTGGCCATGTAAGTATCAATGAATAGAGGGGGTCATTAGCGACGCGTAGGAAAAAACGGAACTTAATTCCGAGTTCGGACGAGCCCAAACGAGCCCAAAACGCAAAGTCGCGCAGCCCAGTCTTTCTTAACGGCGCTAATTAATGTTAACGGGGACAAAGAGGTTGCACTAGCGGCCTTAGCGGTGCTAAGGAGGGTTAGCGGCGCTAACCCTGTCTGGCAAATAGTGCGTTTTTCCTCGTTTTTCACACATGATGGGGAGGTGTGATCAAGATTGGAGCTTGTTGACCGACATTCACCTTGTAAAACTTGTTTTTGGACCCAAGAAACATTCTCCCTCATTCTCTACCTATTCTCTTCACTTTTTCTTCCCATTCTTTTTGGTTTTTTTTTGGTTCTTCAAGTTTGAACCAGAAACATTTGGAGACTTTTGGCATTTGGGTTTGGTTTGTACTTGCTTTTGACATTTGATTGCACATTAGTAGTAAGTTTTCTTCTTTTTCATTGTGTTTATGATGATGATGATGGCTTCAACTGATGTGTATTCTTGTGTTGAGATTGCAATGTGTGGCTAATCCTTTAGCTAGGGGCTAGGGGATAATCGTTCAGGTTTGTTCTCGTTTATGTGCATGATGCTAGCTCAATCTTTATGAGTTTTATTAATCCTAGGGTTAGATGCTTGATCACCATCCTAATCTAGATAATCAATTTCAAAACCGAGAGGGGAGAAATCGATGGACTTGGCTCGTTTAGAGTAGACAAGTTCGGAGACGTATTGTCTATGTGTTGATTGTTTCGTTGATTGGTTCGTTTTTTTTTATTCGCATGTTACGAAGAGTTATTGAGGATAAACCACTAAACAAGTTAGTTGTCGAGCCCTTTAACCGAGTTATTGATTGCCGTTAAATGTGTGTAGAACTGGAAGCGATTGTCCCCGATGTCCCTAGCCCGTTTATATCTTCTTGAATTGAATTTGTGAGTTGTGACATTTAAATAGCTTTATTTATTTTACGAGTCATTAGTTGATAATCAAAAACCGACAAATCGAATTAGAATGTTTAGGACTATTTTCCTTTTTCGTAATTGAATATACGTACGATTTAGTCCGATAAACCTTCCATGAGACATGACCCGGTGTTTGAATCTTTCGGTTCTACTGTGGTAAAAATAAATCTACAACAATATGTCATCCTAGAAAAATACGAATCACCCATGGTAAATCAAATAAACAAGTAATGAATATATATTCCCGTTTTTTATTATCTTATAGCTTAAGGGTAAGCATCAATTACTGAAGTTCTAGATTATAATTGTGATCAGTAAATCTTATAATATTATCCTTCTGTGGTCCTGTTCAATACTTATCATAAGTACTTGTAGCGCCCGGTTCGATTTATAAAATTTCTTGGATTATTCTATTTATCGAATATTATAACATGTCGACCTAAATGATATGTTGTAGTACATGATCGTTTTGTTTAAAACGTTCGTCATTCGGCGATTTCGGATTAATTGCGTAATTCGAACCTAGGCCATTTGTTTATTAGAATTTCTAGATTTTTATATTATTATTATTTGCCTTATTTTATTTAATTTTCGGTGGTGATAAATTTCTCGTCTTATTTGTCTATTTGATATAAATGGTTATGTAATAAATATGGGATTATTATATGTTAATTATGTGTATTAGAATTATTTTAGGATTTATCTGATATAACTTTTAAATTGCATCGGCGGTTTTGGGTTTAATCGCATAAAGTCGTTTTTATTTCCATTTCGGCCCAATTTCGAGATTTTGTATCCGGACATTAGAATTTATATTTGTCTTAAATTTTTCGGTCAACTTGAGCTAATAAACCGGTCCTTCGATTTTTGAATTCGGTGGTTTGGAAGTAAACTAAATCGGCCCAAATAACTTACAAACATTCAACCCATTTTCTTGACCCAAATGACTTTTCTCGAGCCCTATCTTTTTCCCTTTTTTTTTTTAATTCTCCAAATCAGTTGCCGCCTCCTTCATTCTTTTCCTTCGTCCTTCTCACGCTAGCAGGTCGCAAATCTCTCTAGAGCTCTCCAGCAAATCGTCCATTAATCCTCGAGTAAATTGCAGTCCTTCGGCAGCAAAGAAACACGCTGGCAGATCGAACCCTCGACGAGACACGCGCCACCGAGGAGTTTTTATTCACGATCAAACAACCTCAGAGAGCCGCCGCGTACGAATGCCATCACCCGATTTTTCGACGACCAAATTCACAGCGGTGAGCCACCAGGCCCAGCAGATGATTGTTGGACACTCACGGCCGAGTTACGAGCCACCGTGGCTGACCAGATTCCGAGGACGAAAGCAAGAAACTGATCGAGGACAAACAGTCGGAGGTCGAGCAGGTTCTGAACACCCTTGATTGGCAGCGATCATATCCGACCCGACCGAACGACGGCTGGACGTTTTTCGATGGGAAGAGCCAAACCTATGCCTGACGAGTTGCACATCGAGACTTCCAGCAAGCAGCCATCGCCGAGCGACCAGCCCACTGCCACCGTGTGCGCGACTAACAGCATCAGTGGTCACCCAAAGAAGACGAACAGCCCCTATTCGCGCCCTTTTCGCTGCCCGCACGTATACGTGTACCGGCAACCGCCAAGCGCCGCCGCCGCCGACGACCCTGAGCAGCCCTCTTTCGACTCGTTTTCGAGTATTAATCCCGAGAACAGTATCGACGGCTTTAACCTTATGTCTTTTCGTTTTGATATGTTTTGTGCATGTTCTGTGAATTAGTATTTGTCTTGTGATTTTATGTGTACGTTTGGTTCAATATAATTATTGTATGTAGTAGTCTCTTCGATTTTTGTGAAATCGAGTGAGATCATGATAATTCATGAAAGGGTGTGGATTATGGAACATTTGAGAGTCCTTGGCCTTATGGTGAAGGCTTTGGACGAATTTGTTAAGTATCGAGTCATATATAGATTTTTGAACTTGGACTAGCTGCTGAATTTTGTTAAAATTGTGATAAATCGCATGATTGTCCAAATGACTTGAAATTTAGTATGTGATGTCCTCAGGTGTTTATATGCTTCGTTTAAAATTTCAGGTTTAAACTCCCTCTGTAGCTATTTTAAATATTGACTTTGATTTCTGGGCAGAATAATAGAAAATGCATATAAAATCGAGTTGTGCTCTAAAATTTCTAAAATTTGAATATGTTGTTCCTCTGCCATATGTAGTCAGTGTGTAAAGATTTCATATTTTTTAGACTACATTTGCTGGGGTAAATAATTAATTGAATTTTTCTGTTGAACCTTGTTAGAATTATAAAAAGTTCAGATTTAATTAAGTTCATTTTGATGTCTTTATGTTGAAAATACGAATTCTGATGAATTTTGCAATAAATTCTATAAATCGGGTATTTGAGTTTTAGAGCTGGAAATTTTATATATTGATATTCACATGCTTTAGTTGGTGGTGTATAAATTTCAATGCTTGAATTGTTCATTAGGTCAGGCTATGAATTCATGCTCGTTTTTGCTGAAATCTTGTTTGAATTTTATAAAATTGGGTATTATGAGTTAAGGGCTGAAACTTGGTGGATATGCTATGTCCAGTGGTGAGAATGTTTTGTTAAAATTTCAGAGCTTATCTTGTTCGTTTACCTGACCAATTTGAATATGTGATGTTCTCGTCAAATATTTCAAAAATTAGGTTATTATGTTAAAGTCTGTAAACCGGCATATATGTTGCTCCTTGCTACCTGTTTTGATCATCCTTTATTTGAATTTATGTGTACTCCCATAATTGGTTAGGTCGAGTCTAAGTGTTAAGTCCAAGTGTTCCAATGTCCACAGGACTCCACGAACAACTTAGTTGAATCAAGTTCTACTAAGTATGATTTGTGTTTTCCTTCCAAGGGTCAAGATAAGTGTTGATTGTAGTATCTTGACTTAATGTAGGTTTTTGAGGAGTCAAAAGCCTCGACCTACGTCACTTCTTATTGTGCTTTCGTCAATCCGAAATACCAGGTGGGTTAGTTATTCTATAATGTCTACGCATGTGTGTCTTAAATGAGTTGAAATTGGTATGATCTATGTATGCATGTGAACATGTAGCCTATCGATGTGAGCTGTTACGGCCGTCGGTACGGTTGTCCTCGTCGATGTAATACGGTTTCCCGTTGCGAGGCAAGTCTCCTTAACACCTAATGAAAGGCTATGTGCGTAGCGTGGCACGTTCTCCCGCTGATAGGGTAATGAATCTCCTTTCCGCGGCTAATGAAAGATGTGTACACATGAGTAATATATTGATGTGATATTGTGTAGGAGATGAGACTTGTTATTATTGTTTATGTTCATGCTGCGACCATACCATCCTAACATATTATATATTGTTGTTCATATGCATAGTGGTGAGCACTATATTTTCCAACTGTGCTCACTCCCACCAGCTTTTCACGGATGCAAGTTAAGCAGGTGACGGATGACGTGGCAAAACGAGTGGCTGGTCATTTATTGTTATTATAGCTTCCGCAGTTTATGAACCTTATGTTTGAGATTATTGGACATGTTGGTTGATTTCAAATTTGACTTTGAAAATGTTCGGTTGGTTTGTTTTGAAACCCCTCTATATTGGATATTCATAAGTATGTGTATATTTGGATATCATGTTGTTACTTTAGTTTATTCATGCTGTTGTGTTTGAGCCAATTAACATGTGAGATATATTGTGAATCGGGTTAATGAAAATCGGGTTTATGAATCCTCGTGGGTCCAGATAAAACTTGGACTTTATAAATGTTGTGAATAATGCCCATGTTTTCGAAAAATGTTTTACTGATTTTTGGAAAGTCCGGAATTTATGTAAAATCAAAGTGGGGCGTTACAGTACTAGTGTAACCCATCAGTCAAAGATCAACCGAATCAAGACTTATACTACAGTATTTTCCAATAGGGATCTCACTACCTGTCTAAACTGTGAGCAATTAGTTTATATTTTACAAGGAACCGATAGTATGATCTTTCTGTTCGACACGACGAACCCATACTATCTACAATGTAAAATAAAGAAGTTATAATTGCATAAATAAATAAACTGCAAACATAAATACTTTGACTAAAACACGATTGCCCGATCAAAATGGAATTTTCAATATCTGAAATGCAAGTTTTTACAGCATATCCTAATACCTACATGCCATAACCACATAGAATCTCACGTCGCATTAAAGGTGATTGACAAATCTCCCAATTCAAGACATATATTTTCTCAATTAACATAATATTTAATATGAGCATCCTAGCTCATAACACCAAAATCCGACCTCGTATTTCGTCGATATTTCATCATTTTTTACATATTATTCTGAACTAAAGCAAGCTAAATCGACATAATATTAACACTAAACCTGTAATATTGGTTGCTCAAATTCGTTGGTCAACAGTTTGGCGCTAGAGGAAGGGCCTTATATTTTTTAGGTTATTACTATTCGACTTCAAGAACACCATATCCACAGTCAACTAACCAACTCAGAAGAACAACCAAAGAAGATGTCTTCATCGAGCTAAAAAGGAGAGTCTCGGCTGCCAACAAAACTCCACTGCATCTTCCTAAACAAGGGATCGGTACTAGCATAAGGGAATACTGCCAACTAAATTTTAGATCTTCCACCAAATTTAAATTTTACTTCAAAACAGAAATCATAACAATTGAGAACTAAATTTTCAATTGTCTCAAACGAAGACAACCATAAACCTCCCCTAAAACCCACAGGGTCCATAAAAACCCACCTATTATCTAGCTTAAATTTCTTACAAACAACTTTAACAAAACTACTCTTTTTTTTTCAGAAAGAAAAAATAAATGTGGGGCGTGAGATCTTTGGATCTCTTTGATTTGGGAAACTGTAGAGGGACTCCCCAAACCTCTACAGTTGCACACGCATACATTCATTTAAACCCGTGCGGCCATTTTGGGTTCGCTTTCTCCACCATTACAGATTTAACTTTACCTAACATTCTAGCGTTTTTAGCAATACCAAAGCTTTTTGAGTTTTCATATTCCTCTTACATCTCTAAACGTCTTTTCAAGTTAGCAACATTCTCCTGATCTTTAACTCTCAAAGGTAGCTCATCTATCTGCATTATCTTAGTCTCAAGGCATGGACTTACTCTAGGTTTTCTAGTAAATCCTCTTAGCTTTCTTTTAGTGATGTTTTCCCCTTTAGAAGCTAAGACATCTATGTCAACCAAATCAGCATTGTTAAGTTCAGGAATAGACTGTAAGAAAGAAGATAACATAGACCTAAGAGATTCAATTTCTCTAGAGCTATCTTTTAAAGGCTAACACCTAAATTCCTCAGCTTAGAATCCTTGAGTTGCCCTCCCCTAGAATCTAAAACTACCTGTCACAGGTATCTCTAAGGACTTTTTTTTACCCCACTCTAACCCTTTTTGTATACTTATGTCCACAAGACCCCACTCCTCAGAAGGTTGTCTATCTACTTCGTTTTAGCCAATCTAAAGTCACTTTGGTTAGACACAGCAGCCCTAAGCCAATCTCCAAATTGCTCTAAGTTAATTACATTTCTACTAACATCTTCTTTTTTGATAGGACAAGGTCTTTCATTGTGTCATATTCTACCACAGTAAAAATAGAAATTTTGTAGGTTTTCATAGCTGAAATCAACCCATCTAGTCTCACTTGATGTTAGCTCCTCTGAAGATTGGATCTCGCAGCTTATGCTCCATTAAGACTTTCACTATTCTCTCATTACTGCTTCATGCCCCTGGCACAAACACGTCTAGAACTTTGCCAACTAACCTCTCTACTTTTAAGCCTGCCTCAGCTGAGATCCAATGAAGAGGCAGATAGAGAATTTGGACCTAGACTTTGACTTTCTCTTCTTCTTCAGAGAAACTAGTATTGTTTGGGTCCCAATTTTTAAGCAGCAAGTAATGTCCGTCAAAATTCCAGGTTTTACCATGAAGTATCTTCTTTTTGTCCTCCTCGCACTAGAATAAGAACTGGTACATAATAGAGGCCAAGCTTCTAATGGAAAAGGCTTGTTTGGTTACCCAGATGCCTCTTATCGTCGTCTTGAAACCTCCAAAATTAACTCTTTTTTTTCCTCGAATAGCTTTCCAATAAGGCTCAATTCGCATTCTCGAACTCCAATTGTTATATCCTCGTCCGATAATGTAACCCTTTTTTCCTCTCAGTCCGATAAAACAAATTTTTGGAGTTTGTTCACTATCTCCTCCTCCATGCCTACTGACCTTTCCCAAAGCACCAGAACCCCTGAGAAACACCAACAGGAAAAACAAAATCACACGAAGGAAAGGCATACAACCCTAATAATCTAAACCAGCAAGAACCAACAACCTAATCAAACCATAAACCCTAAAAAATGACATATCCTAAAAGGAAACTAGAACTCCATAGAGAGACGCAAACCCTAAGGTAGTGTTTGGTTCGAGGGATTTGGAGGTGAGGGGAGGAGAAGGGATGGAGAATTTTAGATTTCACTTGTTTGGTTTGTAAGTTAAGAGGGGAGGGGAGGGAAAATTTTAAGCCAAAATCCCTGATCTCCACCAATTTTGCTTCCCTCCAAAAATTGGAGAATTTAGAGAGAAGAAAAGATTTTTAAATGTATAATTATTCTTTTGTCCTTATTATATAAATTATTTTATTTCTTTTATTTTTTACATCATTAAAAGTATAATATCATTTTTACAATATTTTATTTCTCTTCTATTTTTCTAATTAAACAAAGTTTATCATTTTCTTTCCATTTCTTTACTACAAAATCAATAAAATTATTTTACATCACCTCTCTTCCCTTCCAATTTCTCCCATTAAAATCTCTCCTCCCCTCCCCAACATTGAACCAAACATACCTATGGAAACGAGACTTTTGTATCCCACCTCCCCCCTCCTTTTCTCTAGTGAGCTTCATTGAAATCGCTCCCCTCCCATCCCGTCCCTCTTAAATAACCTTGTTTTTCCTGCAAAATTACAATTTTTCTCACGTTGCCGTCTCCCTCTCGCCAACATTCGATCTTCTGCCCTTCCCGGAAGAATATCCAAGTTTTCTGCTCTCTCTCTCTCTCTCTCTCTCTCTCTCTCTCTATCTACCCTATACTTGCCCCCGACCGTTGCGCAATTTCTCCATTCTGTAAGCCCTAATTCTATTGCGTCCGAAGCTTTTAGAATGTTACTTGTTTTAGATTTTCGACATTGCTGATTAGTATATGCATACATGGTTTTCTGTATTAAGTAATGCGGCTGAAAATTTTACATATATCTGAAACTTACAAATTATTTCTTCATGGAGAGTTTCCTTAAATATCAGTAACTTGACGAAATTATCTTAAATTAAGATTTCAAATACAGCTGCACTCATTGTATCCAGTTACTGATGTTCATGCTAATGTTACATTGAGTTATGGTTATTGTTTCCTAGTTTTCTTGATTTCCTATTTCCATTTTCTAAATTACGAAAAAAATTTGCGGTGTGTGTACAGTGGAAACGTAGAAGATTTCCGAAATCGATCAGGCTAAAAGATGGCAATTGCAAGAACAGGAGTTTTTGTAGATGACTATTTAGAGTGTAAGATATTCATTCTGTATATGTTTTTATGTTTATATTGTATATCATTAG